CTTCTTCCAGTCTGAGGCGCTGCAGCCTGGGTCTGTCTGTGTGAGCAAATATTGACAGGACAGATCAGGAGGAATGACATTCCTGATATCAAGGGAGGAAGTCTGTACGTTCCCTGGGCCACTTCAGGGTTATGTTAGGGTTCGGTTTGTGGGGAATGTTTTTGTGTTTCCTTTTTTAGTGTCTCCATCCATCCCCTAGATGGTGCCCTTTCCCTTGTTGGCCTGGAGGGCCTTTTCCGGTTTCCTACCCACACCTGAGGCTCGTTGGGTCATCATCAGAGGGGTATTTGAGCAGCGGACTGTCACCACCTCGACGCCAGAGTGTTTGCCAGTATTGGGTACTCTAGCCCCTAAGAGCTTAGCTATGTCTAACTTCGGGTTTTCGTCTCTCCGAGTCCTCTGATCTAACCCTTTGTCTCCTTTGTGGTTTTCGGCAGGATTATTTCCTGATCCATTGCATAAGCCTGGTTCTTCTAGCTGTGGAAGGAACCCATTCATCTCTCTGAGATTCAGGAAATCATTCACTGCTTCTGTTTGCAGTCCCCTTCATGAATGCTCATTGACTGTCCCCTCCGCTGCTCTTCTGGACCCTAACAAGTCTGCCTGTCCGCCCTCCAACAAGTAACAGCCTTATCCAAACTACCCCCGCAAACAGGAACCAAGGAGCAACCACAAGACAACAACTGTGAGTTCCTTAACTGGCTATTTTCAGTTGTGGCCTGTAAATGCCATGGACCGTGAACTCACCACTCTGATCTCCCTCTAGAGTTTCCGGTTTACCAGCCTGCTGGATATTCCCCCCACTGAGAATCCTGTGTTTTTGTCTCTCTGAGTGCCACTCTCCATCAATAAACTGTTAAACTTTTTCCCTGACTCTGAGTTTGTTTCTGCATTTGGGCAAAACATCTAAAACCCATCATGACAGATTAGGTTAGGGGTAAAACTTTTCTTATTACACCTGCAGCATATATTCCTCAACTGCTTGGTGAAAAGATCAGCAAATCGTAAACATCTGGCAGGGAGCTGGATTCACTGCTGGACACACCTGCTACACCATGAGGGCAAACTGGGAGCAGAAGTCTTAGCCTCAAGGCTGCAGATGAACCAGTAGACCTTTTGTTGGAGACCATTGGGTGGTAGAAGTCCCAAAGCTGAAGAAGGAGTTCAGAGTTTGGTTGGTTCTAGGTCCTCCTGAAGTGCCTGGCAAGGATTAGGTGGAAAAGGGACTGCAGGTTGTTGAGCAGAAGCAACAACTCAGGATTCAGGAAGGCTATGGAGAAGGTCGTTTGGCTATCCTCAAGGAAGTTTAGGAAAACTGTTTAGTGACCATCTCAATCAGTTGGGTTCTAGGGCAGGAGGAAAGCATCCTGGACAGGGGGTATCATCATGCTGTGACAGACTTATCTAAAGGATCTCTTTCATCGGCTGTCCATGTCCTCCACAGAGGATTTACAGTCTAACTTAGAGAAGTCAAGTCCATCACAATGGCAGAGATTCAGCCAACCATTATGCAGGCTATGGATCATGATGGACTGTCATGGCTGACACATCTACTGGGTTGCATGGGGGGTAGGAAAAGTCAGGAAGGGAGGACCTTGAATATATTTAAACTTGTAGACATGGTGAAGACAATCTGCTGAAGTTCAAACCAAGCATCAAAATTTTCATGTACAACCATCTCTATGGTTTACAGAGGATGGTCCGAAATAGGGATAATATTCAGTGAGCAGCAGCTCTGTGGGGGCAAACTGATGCTGGAGTAGAATGGCCAGGCTGGGGGGTTAAATGCAGAGAGGGAATTTCGTTGCTCTTTTATTGTCATCAGACAGATGCTTCTACCGTCTTTTTGGGACTATAAGTAGCACTTTTCAAGGTTTTGCTGGCTATGAGATTCTGGTGACATATGCATGTTTCTTTCACCATGAGAGGGCACTATGTAGCTTTGCACATGACAACATGTATTCTATTTATACCACTGAAAGAAAAAAACGTTACAACTTACCACAACAAAACAGATTAGCATTACAACAATGACAATGTTTTGCATTTTAAAAATAGACCTATTTCTTCTTTCAAGATAAACTTTATTGTTCGTCTCTAGTGTTGTGGTCTTGACATTGTTCTGAATGATGATCACTGATTCTCAGATTCTTTTTCATGAAATAAGACAATGCGTTCTTCAAGCAGTAGCCTACCATGTGGCAGTTATCAGAACACGGATTCCATGGATAGAAAAGCCTTTCAAAAAGTTGAGACTTTTAGTCCGGTGCGACGTATATTTTTTTTTTCTTCTTCAGAAAGAAGAAGGCTGATGTAACTTAAACTCTGGAGCGACGTATAGTCCGATAAATACGGTTTTTTACATGAAATTGCTGTCATAAGTCTTTAAATGTGTGACTCATAAATATCTTCCATAAATGTGTTCACTTGCTGAAAATTCATCAGGCAGTTTTCCAAAGTTCATAGAAATAGAGTAAAAGTTCCTCTTGGGGCCGGCTCTCCTCCTCCCTTGGTGGGAGTCGGAATTCCTGGGCTGGCCCCTCCTGGGTGCCTTCGTTCTTGGGGTCCCTTCGGGTGTCTGGGGCTTTGGGTTCCCCGGTTTGCATATAATCTATTAAACTCCCTGCATAATTATAATAAAGCTATTTATATGCATGAAACAGGCGGAGCACTATGGTGATAGCCGTACTGCTCCACTTGTGAAAATAAAATCTGTTGTGCTCTTTTTGGCATCAAGACAATTATTCTTATTGCCACATTGCCAGACAGGACACTGTAAAAAAAAAAAAAAACATTTCTTTTTTAGCAAAGCTTTTGGTCCCCTTTAGATGTTTTTCTCTCCTCTAAAAACAGCTTGTGCAGTATAAATTAGATGTATTAATGTCTTTGTTGCCCTTGAAGATGTGATGTAATCTTATTGATGAGCTCAACTTATGTCAGTCAGTGAGTTTGAGCTCATGTTCTATCACAATCCAGATACCTTAAATAACCCTTAAATTGTAGCTCCTACCTTCGGTTCCTAGCTCCTTCCAACATTCAACAGTAGAACGTCATCTACAGAAGTAGCTATTCAAAATTTCCCCACTTTCCAAAATCCACAAATACTGAGAACCAGGAATCCTCACAACAAAGGGGCAAAGAAATGATGAAACAGTGACTGAGCAGGAGGAGAATGTATGGCAAAGAGCAGGCTAATCAGCCGATTGGGAGCAGGTGTGTACAGAGGAGTCTAGAAGGGAGCTAGGAGAAGAAGACTGACACAAGAGGGCAACACAGGGTAAAGAAGAAATACCTAAGAACTCAAATACAGTAAAAAATAACTAGAATAACACAGTATAGAAATAAAACCAATGAAAACTCAGAGATAAAACTTAAACAGAACCAAAACCATGACATCAGAACTGTTTATATAGCACTTATTATGGCGACAACACATGCTTAAATGATCATACGGATTTAAAGTAGTTCCAGATGAAGCCTTTTTGTTTATATATTGTTAGCTTCACGTTTAGCCATTAGCTTGACCTCCCTCTGTGAAGTTAGGAAACTGAGTCTGGAAGCATTTCTTGCATAATATTCACTTTTATTTAACGTCCTTTGGACAGAGAGTACATAAAAGCTCTGGCTTAACCATCCTAAGCACAGACATTTATACCAAAACACTCACTTTCTCAAACACTTAAACAAAAGCAGGAAAACAACTAAATTAATCAAAGACATAAATTTAGCCAGACAAAAATTTCAGACGACTGTTTTCCGCTCACACCAGAAAGGGGATGTGAGAACCTTGAACACAGTAAGGACATGTTAATCTTTGTCTAGAGTAGAGAGGGTTTAGGGTTAGCGCCCCTGCTACAACGTCCTACATTCCAGCAGAGACTGGAACAAGGCTTCTTAATAATCACCCCTATTTAGACAGAGAAAGGGCACTCTTTGAACACATTACAAACAGGCTACGGAAAAATATACTCTCACATCCCCCTGTACTTTTATTATGTCTGAAAGGTGCAGCAAACGGTCTTTAGAAGTTAACAAGTTTAGCTGAATATCCAGAACCACTATACCTTTAATAACGATACAGCTGGCATTTTATTTGCAATATATTATAAACATTTTACAGGATGTGGTTTAACAGGTTTTATCATTCATGGAGGTAATAACCTTCAACTGTGATCTGCAAAACTGTTGCTGAAAGGAATAATCATGGTTCTGAGACGAGTCGTTCAGTGACAGACCCCCCCATTTGATCCCAGGTAGAACTGTCCCCATCCTATTCACCACCGGCTTTCAGGTAGCTAAAGAGGGCGCTCAGCCCCCCCTCCATAACCTCCTTCAGAGGTTTCAGCAGTGGGTTGTGGATGATGTGGAGTCCTTTATCCAGCGGATGGCAGGCGAGCTTCTCCAGGCGGGACAGCCGGTGCATCTCCTGAACACATGAACATTCTTATCATTAACATGCTAACTATTGTAACGCCAGTGAGTGTTACCAAAAATCAGGCTCAGTTGATTGCTTTTTAACGGTGTTTATTCCTCCAACATCTCTAGGGATGCGGCACACACTTGAGTAAAAACAACAGCCTTAGCACTCAGGGTGAAACTCTGCTCTCAACACACACACCCACAACATCATGAACTGAGGCAAATGCAAACAATGAACAACATGAGCAACAACCAAACAGAATGACAAGGAAATGAACAACCAAACAAACCAAAACAGTGCCCCATAATGCACCTCTTCGTCCCGCCGCTACACTATTATTAGCTCAATCCTTCATAGGTTTACCTGAGGAACGTCTTTTATGTCGTTGAAGTCCAGATTCAGCAGCTCCAGCCTGCAGGAAATAAAAAGGAATTCAGGTTTGTTAGTTTTTACTCATACCTATGGGAGGGATATCTTTAAATAATCATTTATAGATATATGTTCAAAGAAAAGGTCATTCATCTGCATCTCTGATCTCTCTGGCAATGACCTGTTCCACAGCACATCTGCTCAGGTGGAGGTTCTCTGTGAGCTGGGCTTACCCTGTGAGTTACCCAGTGGGGTGGAGTTACCCTGTGGGGTGGAGGTGCCCAGTGAGGGAGAGTTACTCAGTGAGGCAGAGTTACCCTGTGAGGTGGAGTTACCCTGTGAGGTGGAGTTACCCAGTAAGGTGGAGTTACACTGTGAGGTGGAGTTACCCAGTGGGGTGGAGGTGCCCAGTGAGGGAGTTACCCTGTGAGGTGGAGTTACCGAGTGAGGTGGAGGTACCCAGTAAGGTGGAGTTACCCTGTGGGGTGGAGGTACGCTGTGAGGTGGAGTTACCCATTGAGGTGGAGTTACCCTGTGAGGGAGAGTTACCCTGTGAGGTGGAGTTACCCTGTGGGGTAGAGGTGCCCAGTAAGGTGGAGTTACCCTGTGGGGTGGAGTTACCCTGTGAGGGAGAGTTACCCATTGAGGTGGAGTTGCCCATTGAGGTGGAGT